TTTCAGACCCTAATCCCACTGACAAGGTGTAAAGAGTGTAGTTAAGACTCAATTTGAGCAACTGAGATAAAAGAAATTCAATTTATTTATTTTTTCCATGAATAATGAGCTACAGAAAACGATAAGCTAGTTTCTGTGTATTGGATAGTTTTTATTGTCTTGTTTGGTATGTTTTGGATTAAATAATTTGTTTTATTTTATATTTTATTAACATTAAACAAGACATAACTAATCCCAGGCTAGAACAATTCATATTCAATAAAAATAAACGAATTGATTGGCCTTAATCTAATTACAAATTTACGATAATCCAAGATAACATATGAATAAAAAAATCTATAAGTTTTTTTAAATCAAAATAAAATTATTTTGATTTTTTTATTTGAATCAACCTAACCCCAGTCGAAAATTATTTAAATTTTAAATTATAACAATAGTTAAATTTATTTTTATATTAATAAAAACTAGGAATTCATGAATGGATGCAATGTAATAAGCTATTCAAACTATTTTGTAACTATATATTAAATGGCTCACAGTTATAATTAACAGCTCCATCAATCAAGAATTTTCAGTAGCATAACTGGCATTAAAGCTGTATATTAATCATCACTGCCAAAAATTTCTGGAAAAAAGCACAACTTTATTCACAGAACAAACAGAACCCGAGATCAATCAATAAAAAGAAAACTTGATGAATCCAATCAAAATTTGATCAATCTCTTTGCTTCATTGATTTCTCTTAGGAGAGCGATAAATCCAATATAATAATCACCAACAAATTCAATAACATAAAACAATCAAAACTTGATGAATTCGGAAGGATTTTTTAGAGGCAAAACCACTGACACAAAGGGCATATGCCCCCACGTGAACACCACCAAAAAGACTCAATTTTTGCCTCAGTGACTAGCTTAATTTCCACCATGGTTCTCAAAAAACAAGCTAGAGGTATAGAGAGGCAACAAAAAAACACATTCCCAGATTAAAAAAAGAGAAATTTTAAAAAATAAAAGATTTAGTCGTTGATTTGACACAGATAAGCCGTGTAAAAAAGTACAAGAGGCTAAACTGCAACACTGAACGGCAGTTGTTTTAGCAGGAGCATTGGAGCTTCCTACTTCAGTGAAATGTAACAAGTGAAGCCTAGGAGGCATCATTCAGATAGAATTTTTTTAAAAGGTAAGTTTTTGAAAGGATTTGTGTGATGAAAACAGGGTTTTTGGAGTTGTGGAGCCTGCTAATGGAGAAGAAACGGGGGTGTTAAGAAGTTACATATAGGCGGTAAAGAGCTATAAAACCCTACTTTCATTTTTTTAGGATAAGAAATCAATAACAAAATAATCATCTTTTTCATTCTTCCAAAAATAGGTTTATTAATAAAAAAAAAATATAGGGTTTAGGGCTGGATTTGGGGTCGTCCATTTGGAAACCCAAAATATCATGAAAAATAAAATAAATTATTATATATTTTATCTATGTTAAAAAAATATTTTAGCACTTTTTTTTTTGTTGATATAATTATTTTGGTTTCTGGAGTGGTTATTCTTAAAATTTCTCTTGGGTATGAGGTATTAAAGGTAAAATAATTTTTGAACTACATTTTATATATTATACAATTTTTAAATAATTTGTATATCATTGATAGTTTTACAATTTTTTTTATAGTTTATTGCCTCTGTTTCTTTAAATAATTTGTTTTTATTATTGTTGACACCTTTCTTTTTTATTTTAGTATTGTTATCATGGCTACTGTTACTAACAACAACATGAAGAATTAAGGTTCTGTTTATCTGCTAGAAAGTAATTTTTTTTAAAGTAAATTTTTAAAAAGTAAATTATTTTCTGATGGTTGGTAGTGTGATGGAAAATAAGTTGGAAAACACTTTCTAGTGTTTGGTTATGTCATGAAAAATAAGTTGGATAATAATTTATTAAATATTTTATTTTTTTCCAAGTTTATTAAAATAATAAGAAATAAATCTTACAAATTAAAAATTTGAAGGGGAAAAAAATTTTAAAAAATATAATTTCATAAATTATCTAAAATAAAATAAAAAAAAATCAAACTAATAGAGATCAAATCTAAAAAATAAAAAAATTGAAAGATGAAGAAATTAAAATAATAATAATTAATATTTCATAAATTATTTTAAATAAAATAAGTAACACTCAAAAGAATGAAGTTAAAATTTGACAGATAAAAAATATCAATTAAAAAATAATAAGGGAAAAACAAATAATAATTATAAAAATGAGAACCAAAGTTAATATAAAAATTAAATTCTAAAGAATGAAATTGAAAAAAAAATATTCAAAACAAAATATATATAGCAATCAAAAGTTTGAGAACCAAATTTGATATAATATGATATTTCTAAATTTTTCATAACTTCCGGAAAGTGTTTTCCGCCTAAAATAAAAGAAAAACACTTTTCTGAAAATCAAGCCAAATTTTTCTTTGTCTGAAAAATATTTTTTATTGACCAACTTTTCTAATGATAAATAAACACATGAAAATTTGAAAAGTGATTTTTTGAAAACTATTTTTCGGAAAACAAACATAGAAAATCACCTGCTTGCACTATTAATGTTAACAATACAAGTAGGTCCCTCTTTTTTTTTTTTCTTTATGTTTAATTTAAATTTCATTACTCAATGATGCATTACTTTTAAATTGTTTTTTATAATTTATTTTGATTTATTTTTTATAAAGTTGTTACATCCTTAAACAAATGAGCTGATATTTAAATGATATTCAATTTTATGAATATTTAATTTTATCATCATAAAATTAAATAAAAATAATTTTTAAAAAATAAAATTATTAAATTTAATAAAATCTATAACTCACAACAGTTGTTTTGTGTTGGGTTGTGCAAGTTATTTGATAAGATAAGATCATGCAGTTAAATCTCATGTTGAAAGGAAGTTGTAAAATGTTAACAAGAGACTCATAACCGTTGAATTTCAATGATTTTTTGAAAACTACTTTTCGGAAAACAAATATAGAAAATCACCTGCTTGCACTGTTAATGTTAACAATACAAGTAGGTCCCTCTTTTTTTTTTCTTTATGTTTAATTTAAATTTCATTACTCAATGATGCATTATTTTTAAATTGTTTTTTATAATTTATTTTGATTTATTTTTTATAAAGTTGTTACATCCTTAAACAAATGAGCTGATATTTAAATAATGCTCAATTTTATAAATATTTAATTTCATCATTATAAAATTAAATAAAAATAATTTAAAATTATTAAATTATTAAATTTAATAGAATCCATAACTCAGCACAGTTATTTATTTTGTGTTGGGTTGTGCAAGTTATTGTTAAGATAAGATCATGCAATTAAATCTCGTGTTGAAAGGAAGCTGTTAAATGCTAACAAGAGACTCATAACCGTTGAATTTCATATGTGAGTAAGGAGTTTTATAGCAAATTTTGATATGATTATATACGATGATGAATTTATATTTCAATAGCCTGGATTTATGATTTAAAGAAAGCATCCATCAACGTGTATAAATCCTTACGTGCATCTCATGTGAAGACAAAGGTGATCTCAAGTGCAGATTCTCCCTAATACATATATACGAAGTACAGCTTCTTAAAGACATTAAGACCAGAGATGAGTTTTGTTGGTTGTAATATTGGATTTTGGAACCGAACTACGTAGAGATGGCCAAAGACTGGCTTCCTGAGAAGTTTGAAACGGAAATGGGGCTGATGAAGCTCTTGACGAAGAATATACCTATTTCTTGGAGGAAATAATCATGTACATCAACAGTAGAGAGAATCTTGAACAGAAGAAAACGAGAGTAAATATTTATATCTTCGAAAACATGTTCAAGTGCCCTTCTGCCGCACAGAATTCTGATTAATTTTGATGCCAAAATCGTTTCCTTTTATGAATTAGTTTTGATTAATTTTTTTTTCTTTTGGGTGAAAACTGAAATACATGAAAGATTTGTATGTAAGGGTTTCGTATATTTAGACACATATAAGAAGATCTTTTCGCTAATTATCTTGTGATACTAATTTCTTTATTTTTTGTAATTAGGTTTTGTTCTTCCGATTCATAAATGTTTTTCTACAACTTGGATGCGCTTATGGTTTTTTAAGAAAAACAATGAAAATAAAAATAAAAATAAATTTTCACTACATATATTCTTGTTAGCACTCACAAAATTAAATAAATTTAATTAGAGAAAATTTAAAGATATAATTTATATTGTTTGTTTTAACTAATAACTGGTATAACAATCAAACACTAATTCGAATTAAAATAAAATAAAATAAAATAAAATAAAATCAGTGACATTACTTCTTCATGGGAGAATGAAAAGAACAGGATCCGATGGAATCGCTATATATCATGTGAAGTTTACAATTTCCACCACCGGTTCCAACGGTCAAGTGACATGAGTACTTAATCATAATCTTTTAAGCATCTTAATTGTAAACTTGCTTTACGCTTCTATATTATGTAATTATTTATTTTTGTCAATATTTATTAATACCAGGCTGAAAAGTCAATGCTCAGAGAGGAGGATGATTAACTATGTGTATGTTCTTTTTTTTTGGATAATCATCGAGAGTATATTAAAAGATTATAAAACCAATAGCCAACTATGTGCATACCCTTGCATTATGAATTTGTCTATGACGACGTCCTCTTTAACATGGTAGAGTCTAATTTTCTTTGATAATTAATTAATTCTCGTTGGTCTTTCCTTCAAGATCCAACATCCCATTTGCAAAGTAATTATATGAAAAGAAAGTCGGTCCAATATTAAATTATATAATAAGTTACAAGTCCAATCTCCAACATCCCATTTGCAAAGTAATTAAAGTCGGTCCAATATGAAATTATATAATAAGTTACAAGTCCAATCATTCCCATTATTTTATCAAAGTCGGTCCAATAGTAAATTATATAATGTTCTATTTATAGAGAGCATATAGGCTCTTGTTTGACATATTCATACTATCATACACTTAAAATCTATCGTTCTTCTCTACAATCAAATTCAGGCTTCAGCAGCAAAAGTTACAATGGCGGTAAGCGTTTATAGATGTTGTGGATGAAATTATATAAGCGTAGGTTAATTAATAAGAGTCTTTTATTAATTAATATTTTCTCGTATCATATTACAACTGAAATGAAAGAATGGCACAGTTGTATTGAAAATTTCCGTTGTATTTTACTCAGTCGATCATAGAAATGAGAGTGCATATGGATTGTGCTGGATGCGAGAGCAAGGTGAAAAATGCTCTGGAGAAAGTCAAAGGTAAGAAATCACCTCCATTAAAAACATTATGCAAGCGACAATTTTCATCTTAATCATCCCTTTTTTTTTTTCATAAATTATTTTCTCTATTCCTCTCTTTTTAAGGTTTTCTTTGGACATATTTTCTTGGACTATATCTTAAACTTTTGTATTTATCATATCTATGCACGCACAGGCGTAGATGACATAGATATAGATATGGGGTTGCAAAAGGTGACAGTCACAGGATGGGCTGACCAAAAGAAGGTTCTAAAGACAGTTCGCAAGACAGGAAGAAGGGCTGAGCTCTGGCAATTACCTTACAATCCACAGCATCATAGCTATTCTGACCATTACTACAACCAACACCAAGTTAACGGTCCACTTACTTACTATGCTCCTCAGCCTTCCTCTTCTTACAATTACTACAAGCATGGATACGATAGCAACGATCATGGTTATTATCATCATCCTGTGCATTCCTCCATCTTTAACCACCAGACAGGAGCAGTTTTCAGTGATGAAAACCCTCATGGTTGTTCTATAATGTGAACAACGTAGTATATATTATTCTTACTGTATATGTACTTGTACTGCTTTGTTTTTCATGCACTAATTTCCTTTTCACTTCATGTTTTGCTAAACCTTGTTCTCATGAAGCTATAAAATATAGAAAAGAAATGCCTTTTTTTCCTTATCATTTTGCACCTTATAAATTGTTTTATTCTGATTTGTGCCCTAGTCATGGTATTGTCTGTTGAGAAAACCGTGCTCC